TGTCTTTCTGAGACACGGTCTCTCTGTAGCCCCAGCTGTCCTGGAACTCACTGTGTAGACCAGGGTGGCCTTGAACTGAGATCCACCTGCTTCTGGCTCCCAAGTGCTGGGATTAAAGGCGTGTGCCACCATGCCCGGCTCATAGCAACTTTTTGGACTAGGTAGAGTAAGAGCAAATTTGCTGTGAGCTTTCACAAAGCTGGGCCCCATCCAGCTCCTCGACATGAAAACTTAGTGACTTTTCTGAGTTAGTTTCCTGTTCACAACTTGGATGCTAAAATTGACCTTGTGGCATTTCCACTGAGGCATCTGTGAAAGTGCCACAGACTGGCTCCTAGTTCAGTATGTGCCTTTCTTTCATGGGGTTATTATGAGTTGATAAAAATATAAAGGGCCTTTCAACCTCCAAATCTTTCTCTCCACATATATGTGTATGTATGTTATATATAAATATAGATATAATATTAGCAATAAAAGCACAGGTAGGAAAGAGGGACAGATAGGTATCTGGGGGAAGGTTTTGCTGTCTTTATAGTCTGAGTTAGACCAACAGATGCCATGACCACATTTCTGAAACAAACATCAGAAGTGATGTAACAAATCAAAATGTGGCTGTTGGGCAGAATATTTTAAACAGGATTGTCTCATAAGATGAGCTAGTCTCTATACAAGTTAATGGCCATTCTTGCTCCACTAATTTGAGCTCCACAGTTGACCACCAAAGCCAGATGTTTCCATTCTGTTTCTGAAAGACAACAATAACAAAGGTAATCCTGACTTTGGTCTTGGTTGTTCTGAAGTGGACACTGCTGCTTCCATCTGAGGACTCAAATCTACGAATCTTAGCAGCATTGAAAGGGTTAACAATTATACAGAAATTGACCAGAAGAGTTGATTAAATTTGAAAATCACATCCCTTAATAATATGCTGGTGTTTTGGTAGGTAAAAGAAACAAGGGCTGTGAAGACCTGGTAGGCCCAGCAGAAGAAAATCTCATTGCCCTCCCTGCAGCGCCTTGGAGACTCTGGGGCTTGGCTCCATCATCTTGGCTAGTCCCGGATACTCGTCTGAGGGCTCTCAAGCCCCGGCCTCGCCTCAATCTCCCTTAGCTCTAGCGGGTCCAAGCTTCACCTGGGCCCTCGGTGGCCCTGCTCCCTGCCGTGGCTCCGCTCCTCCCAGTGGGCCCTTCTCACTGCCCACACCTCCCGCCGACCGCCCTCCCGTGGTCCCGCCCCTCCCGGGGCCCGTCCCAGGGAGGTCCACGCGGGGCGCGTAACAGATGCTCCTCCGGGTGGTTGGGGCTGCGCTGACTCCTCTCCTCGGTTCTCCCCGGCTTGCTGCGGTAGCCGCCATGAGCACTGGCACCTTCGTGGAGAAGCAGCCGCTCAACTACCGCGGCGGGGCCCGCGTGGAGCCGGTGGACGCCTCCGGCACTGAGAAGGCGTTTGAGCCGGCTACAGGTACCCGGACAGGGGCGGGCGGGGCGGGACGCGGCGGGCCCTCGGCCGCCGTGGGCTTCGGTCTCCAGCTCGTGCTCTCTGCAAAGGATTGCTGGATTGGTTAGCATCCGCGTGGGCTACAAAGTGGCGCTGACCCGGCTTCTGATTACGTAGGGGCAGGAAGGGGCTCGTGGGAAAGGGGGAAACCGTGGATGGTGTGGTGGGGTCCGGAGTGACTGCTGCAGCCAGAGCGGAGCGCAGAGTCCGCCCGGACGAAGCGATGGGTCCCTTAATTTTGAGAGCTGGGTCTGCAGGAACGTCTGCAGGCCGCGTGCAGAATACCAGGTGATTCTCTGATCACAGTGGCGCACTTGGCCTCTCACCTGGGTTGAGTTTATGATAAACGATTGACTTGGGAAAGGGAAACAAAACACCCTTTAGCTTTGCAGAGGACAGTTGACAAGAAAATGTAACTTGGGAAATGGCCGGTTACCATTGGCAGACTAGTAACTTATCCGTTACTTTTGCATAATTTCTACTGTTTGGCAGTGAGAACTTTCAGGATCCATACACAGTAAATTTGAAGTGTGCAGCATGGGCTTATTAAGTATAAACATACTGACGTTAGATCTCCATTATTCATTAATCCTCCCAAGTACTTAATGTATGCCGCAATAGGAGGAAGCGTTTTTTTAATTGGCCTTTTGGTTTGTTTTTGTGTTTGTTTTGCTGACTTTTGTGGAATATTTTGTTAAGAAAAATGTGAACGTTTTGTGTAAATCAGAGGAGCATGTGTAGCTGGAGCAATAAAACTGGATTGCCAGGGCGTAGAGAATTTAGAATTCAGCGTTGATTCTGCACGCTAAACGACAGAACCGGAAGTGGCCCGGAGTTCCTGCGAACTGTTCTTTTCACGAGGGGAAGTCGTTTCTCCGCCCCACCTCCCTGTATTGTGCCAAAGCAGAAAAGTTGCTTTTTCTTTTAATCGCCTGCAGTGTGTGTGATTTTCAGTCCTTGCCTTTACAAACTGACTATTCCAGTTTGTAATAGAAGTTACAGGTTTGTGAAATCTCAGGAATTCTTTGAGAAAAGAAGCCGTTGAAGAAATTTTGTTAGTAGGGTTAATTTGGGTTATAATCCTTGAGATAAAGACCTAGCAAAACGTACCTTTTCGTGTTTTGCCCAAGAATAGGGATAGGTAATGAAAGTTAGATTAAGAAAAGACTGTATTTTTTTTTAACTCGGAAAATAATTTTTTTTCAGGGATTTTATATATATATATATTATACACATATGTGTGTATATATTTCTGATATTACTGCTAATTATCCTTATTCATCAAGTGGTATGATAGACCCCACGTAGAACACCAATAAAGGATCAGTAAACAGCATTCCTCCATGGCCTGTGCTTCAGCTCCTGCCTCCAGGTTCCTGCCCTGAGTTCCTACCTTGGGATCACTGATGAACCGTGACCCTGGAGATGTAAGATAAATAAACTCTTTCTTCCCCAAGTTGGTACTGGTCAGAGTGTTTTGTCACAGCAATGAAGAAACAAACTAAGACAGACAGTATTGAGTGTTGCAAAATGATTCATAGAAGACTAATGTTAGTAAACTTTAAAACAGAGAAGGGCAAAGATTCTTAACCCTAGCTCATGGAGAGTTTAGGACTGCAGATTATTTCCATTCTGGAGAAGGATCTGCAACCCTTAGCAGACTCTAAAGGGATCCTTGATCACAAAAACCAGATTAAAAACTAAATGAGACCATGATTAAAAATAGTAAGTGGGGGTGGGTGGAGATTTGGGTCCTTGGTTAAGAGCACTTGCTACTCTTCCAGAGGACCTGAGTTCTGTTCCTGTCAACCATGGGGCGATTTACAACTGCCTCCAGATCCAGGGGACCAGCCTCTAGCCTCCTCACATACTTGCAGTCACCTGCACATACCCACACACACATATATAAATAAAATTAAAAAGTTTTTAGTGGGAAGGGAATCCCTAAGAGAATACTGATATGTGACAGTTCAAATGCATTGCAACCACTTGAGAGAAAACTGACTTTTCCCTTCTTTATAGGCCGAGTTATAGCTACTTTCACATGTTCGGGAGAAAAGGAAGTAAGTTTGGCTGTTGAAAATGCAAAGGCTGCCTTCAAAATATGGAGTAAAAAATGTGGGAGGGAGCGTTGCCAAGTCCTTTTAGAGGCTGCCCGAATAATAAAGGTGAGTGTTAATGTATTCCTGTCCAGAAACCTCTTACTTGCTCTGAGTGTTTTAGTGTAGCTAGACTTTGATACAACATTATGTTCCAAAGTTTCTATAACACAGATAAGCAGTCCCACCTTCCCATCTTGACATATAAAACAAGCTTTCATTGAGTACTCTGTAAGATCTTGCCTCTTAGCTATCTCCCTGGGCAGGTTTTCTTTTCTGATTTTTTTTTTTTTGTTGTTGTTGTTGTTTTCAGATGTAGTTTTCCTATAGTCCTAACTGGCCTGGAACTATGTAGGCCAGGCTGGCCTCAATCTCATAAAGATCCTCCTGCCTCTGCCGAAGTGCTGGGATTAAAGGCGTGCCCCACCACACCTAGCCTTCTACCCTATTTTTTGAGACGGAGTGTCTCACTGAACCTGGAGCTCATCAATTCAGCTAGGCTGGTTGGCCAAGGGGTTCTAAGGATCTGTCTCTGCCTCCTTAAGTGTTGGGGTTATAAGTACTGGTGCTGTCCCAACTGGCTTTATGTGGGTGCCAGTGACCTGAACACAAGTCCTCATGCTTTCGTGGCAGGCACTTTACTGACTCAGCCCTTTCCCCAGCTTTGCATGTTAATTAAAAAAAAAAGATTTATTTTTATTATTTATAATTTTGTGTGTGTGCACGTGCATGTGTATGCATGCATGTGAGTGCAGGTGTCTGTGGAGACCAGAGGTGTCAGAACCCCCTGGAGCTGGAGTTACATGTGTTTTTGAGCCATCTTATGTGGGTGCTGGGAACCAGACTCAAGAGCAGTATGTGCTCTTTAACTGCTAAGCGTCTCTCTAGTTGCCTCGTATTTCCTTTTTAATACATGCTTGTGTACTTTGTTTCTTTTTTTACTTTTCTTTCTGATATATAGCCTATCTTTTCCAGATTTGTTTTCTGCCTTAATTGCCTGGGAAGATTTTACAGATTAATAAATATCTTTCTTTAAAAAAGATGATGAAAAAAAAGATAATGAAATATTTAATACTTTTTTAAATTACTTATTATTTTTATTTTATGTATATGAGTGTATTGCCTGCATGTAGGTAACTGCACCTGTGACCTGCAATGCCTGCAGAGGACAGAAGAGGCCGTCGGATCCCCTGGAACTGGAGTTACAGACAGTTGTTAGCTGCCATGTGGGTGCTGGGCTCTGAACCCAGGTCTTATACAAGAACAGCTAGTGTTCTTAACTGCTGAGCCATCTCTCCAGACCTGAAATGTTTAATAGTCTTAATACCTTAAAGTACTAGATCTTTATTTCAGAGTTAGAAAAATCAGAGGATTAGACACCAAAATTTGAATCATGGAGATCTCTTGAGTATGGGGCTGTGGTTATTTATTTATTTTTGTCTTTTTGAGACAGGGTCTCCCTGTAGCCCCAGCTGTCCTGGAACTCACTACGTAGACCAGGCTGGCCTCGAACTCACAAAGGTCTGCCTGCCTCTGCCTCCCAAGCGCTGGATTTAAAGGTGTGCACCACCACACTGGACCAAGGCTGTGGTTATTTTGTGTGTGTGTGTGTGTGTGTGTGTGTGTGTGTGTGTTTTGTTTTGGTCATAAATATGAGAAACTGTGATGGGTCTGAGAGTAACGCAAATACCTATTTTCACACAGATCTATATACATAAATATCAGTGCACAGATATATCTTCTGATAGGACATATGAAACTTTTGAGCTTAGAGAATAAGGTTTATTATAACAATAATATGAGCAATATGTCAGTGGTTTTGGAGCCTTGCTCCCTACAGGGTGAGACCTAGGTATGACCTGTGCATGCAGTAGGTCTTCCCACAGGAGAGGAGTGTGTAAAGGCTGCTGGCACATCTGCACTTGCTTTTCTGGCGAGTGTAGAGATTGGTTGCTCATCAAGCAAGTCTCTAGGACAAGGGGGAAGGGTCACTGGCATTCTTGGAGTATAAACCAATGTCTTTAGGAACAGGAAGGACATAGCTCCAAAGGTCTCACTCTAGGGGAGAGTCTCTGTCTCCCATAACCTTTGCTCTTCAGTCAGCCTGCCTGATTTTTGATCAGAAAGCCTGGACTATGCAGAAATGTCCATGCACTTAAAGGAGGATTTTCTCCTGACAAAGCATTCTTCCTTATTGTTAAAGTTTTATTTCTTAAACTGGGTGTGGTAGTGCATGCCTTTAATCCCAGTACTTGGGAGGCAGAGGCAGGCCTGATCTACATATCGAGTTCCAGGCTAGCTGGGGCTACAGGGAGAACCTGTCTCAAAAAGACAAAAAAAAAAAATTTGTTAATTTGATACACCGAAGGTGATCATTTTAAGCCAATAATGGTTTTTAAGTTATCTTTTAAGTTGTCTTTTATTTTTTTTCTGCTGCATAAACAGGTTGGTTTGTTTCATCCTCTTTAAGAATTGGCTGCTGCTGGGCATGGTGGCACATACCTATAGTCCCAGCACTTAGAAGGCTAGAAGACCATGAGTTCAAGGTTAGCCTGGGCTACATAGTAGCAAGCCCCTGTCTCAACTCTCATCCCCAAAGTCCCCCCAAACAAAAATGAATTGACCTCTTTGTCATTAAGACGTAATTTTTTATTAGTTCTAAGTAATATATAATAGTACTTTTTTGCTGTGAAATCTCTGATATATTTTCCTTTTTCTATATAATTTCTCAAAGGACCATTCTCTGTTATCAGCTCAGATACATGTGCTATTTATACACATGCATATAACAATTCTTAAAATATTCTTTTTCTAACTGATGAGGTTGTACTCTTTGTATTTGTTACCTAATTGCCTCAAAGGAAGGTGAGAACTGCTCTTTAGCAACAGGTTTTTATCTCCCAATGCAGCAACACCATTCTGTTAGGTTTCATTTAGTGTTAGCCTTTTCTGTGCATAGAAATTGACTGATGTATTCTATTTAAGCATCAAATATGTTGAGACATCATATGTATTAAGTCCAGTCTTTTACCTACAGGAGCGGAAAGATGAAATTGCGACTGTGGAGACCATCAACAATGGCAAGTCCATCTTTGAGGCCCGACTAGACGTTGACACTTGCTGGCAGTGCCTGGAGTATTATGCAGGTCTGGCTGCATCCATGGCAGGTAAGCCTAGCATGGCCCTAGTTGACAAGAGGTCAGAAGAGCAGGGCTTGGGGATGAGGGGAAAAATTTGGAGATAAGACAGGCCTGGGTCAAAGCCTTGAGTTCATTAGTACCTGTTTGGGTGGCCTGAGAGTTACTTTATCATGTCTTAGCTAAGACAGATATGATAACAGCTAATTTCTTGCATTGTTTTAAGGATTAAATGCGATAGTGCATGAAAAGCACCTAGCATTGTATCTGAACTCTAGGCCAAACTGTTTTTTAAAAAAGTAGTTGCAAGAGTCCACATGTCATGTTTACCAGTGTTAGGTATTTAGCAAAACACTGATAATTCATAAAGTTCACAGCAAGGCCAGGAATGTATCTAAGTTGGTTGAGTACTTGCCTAGTACAGATGGGAGCCCTGGGTTCAATTCCCAGTACTGCATATATGGAATATGGGGTACACACTTGTAATCCTAGCATTCAAGGTGAATGTCAGAGGATCAGAATTTAAAGTCAGTCACTCTCAACTACATAGTTTGAGACCACCCTGAGGTAAATGAAACCCTGTCTCAAAAAAGAAAAAAAGCAAGGCCTTGTGGATCTCTGTGAGATCAAGGCCAGCATGGTCTAATTAGCAAGTTCCAGGCTAGGTGGGGCTACAGGGAGACCTGTCTCCAAGAAGGAAAAGAAAAGAAAAAAAAATGTTTACAGTAGTTCATGCTAGAGGCTGGGAGGACCTAGGTGGGCGAGCCAGCTGTCTGGGGTTTTAGGTCCTCAGACTTCTCTGCTGCTGAGTCCTCCCCTCATTTTGATTTACTCAGCAGAGCTCAGAAGATTCTTAGTGAATTAAATAAACAAGGATGAATTTGCACTGTGAAATTGTGGGGAGCACAGACCTGCATCATCATTCCTTACTCATGTTTTTCCCCAGGTGAACACATCCAGCTTCCGGAAGGGTCCTTTGGCTACACCAGAAGAGAACCACTTGGGGTGTGTGTGGGGATTGGAGCATGGAACTATCCCTTCCAGATTGCCTGTTGGAAGTCAGCTCCAGCTTTGGCCTGTGGTAAGAATGAGTGACTCCTGTGAGCTGTCCTTTCCCCCTTACTACAGACAGAAAGGCTCTGGGACAGTCAGAGCTTAGAGACTGCGGGTCCATTCCTGCTCTACCTGTTCTCCAAGGAGCTTACGGTTTAGCTTGTGCATACAGGTCATGTGTTGAGTTTCCATTTTTGCATTTATCTATTTATTTTTGACATCAGGTGTTGCTGTGTAGTTTAGGCTGACTTCAAAGTTGTTATCCTTCTGCCTCAGCCTCCTTAATGTTGGGATTAGAGGAAATGAAAGTTCCTGATCTTCAGTTTTAACTTCTATAAAATGAGACTGATTATCCCTACTTTGCACTGCAGTTGGAAACTTTTAAGCAATATATGTGCAACGGCCTACACATGTGAGGGACCCAGTGGAAGAATGAGATCTGTCTATTGTTAGTAATAGTTTGGGTCTAGAATTGGGAGACCAGGAGCTAGAATTGTTTGGTCTTGTCTAAGAGGATCACTTGTGTCTTGGTTTTTGCAGGTAATGCCATGATCTTTAAGCCTTCTCCCTTTACCCCTGTGTCTGCTTTGCTCCTGGCTGAGATCTACACCCAAGCTGGCATGCCTCCTGGGCTCTTCAATGTGGTGCAAGGTGGGGCTGCCACAGGCCAGTTTCTGTGTCAGCATCAAGATGTGGCCAAGGTCTCCTTTACTGGAAGTGTGCCCACTGGCATGAAGGTATGTGTGAAGCTAGTTTTGCTTAACACAAATGGCTGGGTCTGGCAAAGCCAGTACTGCCCAGTGCATGTTTTGGGGACTTCTCTTTGGACTTTTCCAACTTCTATTGAGAATGGGGCAGAAAATTGTACTGGTCTGAAGTTTCCTGTGGAAGTGTAAAGGGGAAGAGGGCACACGTCTGTACTGGGCCAAGTAGGGAAGAAGGCCTGCCCCCCTGTGTGAGATGATGTGTTTGAGGGAACCAGCCTGGGCTGGTGCTTCTCTTGTTTGGTGACTTAACTACCTTGTATATTAGAAAGGATGCTTTTTCAGGTTATTTCTGATTACTTTAAAAAAATATTTTTATTTTAAATTATGTGTGTTGTGTATGCATTTCTGTGTAGCTATGTGCTCCTGAATGCAGGTGCCCACAGAGGCCAAGGTGTTGGATCCCCTGGAACTGGGTTACAGGCAGTTGTGAGCCTCCATGTGAGTGCTAGGAATCGAACCCAGGTCCTCTGTAAGAACAACTCTCTCTCCAACCTTCCCATTCATTATTTTGACCTTAATTTGCATTCTGAGTTCTGACAGCCCTAAACAAAAACACAAAAAGAAGTCCTGGCTGTGAGAGTCCTGTGAATTGCCAGTGCGCTTTAAATGAACTACCAGTGCAGCATTTCATGTGCAGTCTCTGAATTTTCTTCAGCCTCCTGGCAGAGGCATCTTAAGTGGATGAAGGGCCAGATGAGAACAGGTTGTGGCCTTATACAGATCAAGTTTGACTTTATGGTTCAGGCTCAGTTGACCTAGCAAGCAGACTAACTTATACTAAATGTCTTGTTTTTTTCCATAAGATCATGGAGATGTCAGCCAAAGGAATCAAACCTGTTACCTTGGAACTTGGGGGCAAATCTCCTCTCATCATCTTCTCAGATTGTAATATGGAGAATGCTGTGAAGGGGGCACTGATGGCCAACTTCCTCACGCAAGGCCAGGTATGCCCTCCTCCTGGCTGGGGCTCCGTGTAACGTCATGTGCTGCAACTAGAAAGTTAGAAATACTTCCAGAACTAGAAATACTCTAAGGAGTTCCTGTGTACCTTTGAACCAAATTCCTCTGATAAGAAATTAACATATTTACTTTACCATTCTCTTTATCTGTCTATGCATTTGTAGACCGTTAAGTTTTCCCGAAGGATTTGACAGCAAGTTATAGACATAAGGCCCCTAACCATTTGATACTTCAGTGTAGCCAAAAAGCATATTATTTTACATAAGCACAACATACTTAGTACTATGTCAATGTTATTTTATTGATTTTACTGTTACTCAATCTGTAGCTCATTAAAAATTTGACCATTTGCTTGACTAACATCATTTTAGTAAGAGAAAGCAGCTTTCCTTTTCCTGGGACAAGATCCAGTTTGAAGGGACTGGGGCTGTAGTCGAGCAGAAGGACTCTTGTCTACGCTGCGTAAGGCCCCAGGTGTGCTCCCCAGGACCACAGAAATAAAAAATAAAACCAGAAGAGTCCAGTTGAGGGATCAAAGGCATGCGCCACCACGCCCAGCTTATTTCTTTTTTAAAAAATATTTTATTATTTTTATGTGTATGAGTGTATTGCCTGCATGTATTTTAAGTTTACCAGTGTTGTGCAGTGCCTGTGGAGATTAGAAGAGGGTGTAGGATCCCCTGGAACTGGAGTTAGGACAGTTGTTAGTGCCATGTGGGTGTTGGGAAATGAACCTGGATCCTCTGCATGAGCAGCCAGTGCTCTTAACTGCTGAGTCATCTCTCTAGCCCCCGTTGTTATTTCTTTAAAACATGCATATTAATGTGGCACAGTGCGATAATTTGATGCATATGTACAGTGTGTAATGATCTGAACAAACTGAAATAATTGGCATTGGTCACACTGTGAGTTGTGATTAGGTTGACGTTTTGAGACAAGGTCTCTGTGTAGCCCAGGCTGGCCTCAAATTCACAATCTTCCTACCTCAGTCTCTCAAGTGCTGAGATTACAAGCATATGTCACCATGCCTGGCTTTTCCTCTTTCTTTAAGTACGTCCTTATTTTCTGGCACATTGAAGTATTCTAGACCCATCTCTTTCCCTGACTGAACTCTGGAATAAGCTGTTTACCTAGGGGGCATGGTTTCAGTGGTATTTGGAACCCAAGATCTTAGCCTGGGGATGTAGCCCTGTGGTAGAGTGCTTGCCTAGCTTTCATGAGTTCTTGCGTTTAATCCCCAGCACTGCCAAGGAAAAGAAACCAAGGTCTTAGTGCAAGGCTCTTCATTGATCCTCTGGTGTTTGTGCTTCTCGGATCTCTCAGGCCAGGGCTAGGAATTGCATGTTTGTGTATGTATGTAGACACAGAGATACACACACATTTTTCTGCATCTATATTGATAAGTACAAATTCATGTAGGTACTTTCAAATTAGTTTGGCCTTCTCCCTTTCTGTGTTTCTAATTTTCTTTTTTGGCTGTAACAGATGTTTTTTGATTTATTTTTATTTTATGTATATGAGTGTTTTGCCTACATGTATGTGAGTGCACCCATGTCGTGCAATGCTTGAGGAAGCCAGAAGAGTGGGATTCCCCTAGAATTGGAGTCATCAGACTGGAATTGGACAGTCATCAGCCGCCACGTGGGTGCTGGGAATGGAACCTGGGTTGTCAGCAAGAACAGCCAGCACTCCTAACCACTGAACCTTCTCTCCTGCCCTGACAGTAACAGATTTGACCCTTATTATCCACAATATATTGAATTTCTCGGTCCTAGAATACCACTGTGAAAAATAAACCTTCTAGTTAAATGTTTAGGATATTTTATGGTTCTTTTTGCTTTAGCCTATAGGTATAGACAAAGTGCTATGTTTAAAAGTTACTTGGGTCAGTTTCTTCCACCCTTCCCCTGCTTTCAGTATAGTTATGATGCTCATATAAAACAAAGAAACCAGTTTCTTTACTTTTTTTTTTTTGAGACAGGGTCTCCCTGTAACCCTGACTGGCCTGGAACTTGTTATGTAGACCAGGTTGGTCTTGAACTCACAGAGATCTGCCAGCCTCTGCATCCCAACCTGTTCCATTCCCTCCTTTTGCCCTATTCCCGTCCAGCTCCCATTCATAGACAGTTCCATTTGTTTCCGCTTTTTTCCTTTCCTGTGGTGCTTTTTGCACAAATGATCAAATACTTGGATATTTCTTACTTCCTCTTCTTTCTTATATAAAAAGTAACAGGTTAGAGGCCCCCTTTCTCACGTTATATATCCTGAAAATCACCAAATTTAGTTTCATAGGGATCTTGTATTTCTAGTCTTTGTTTTCTATTCTATTGTATGTGTGGTATTTTAATAGTATTCATGTTTATTTCTGTGGGAAGGACTAAATAGTGATTATTTGTAATTTTAGTAACCCTGGTTAAAATACTCAGTTTTTAAATTTAGGCTTAATACTGCAGCTCTTAATCTAGTCCTACTTTTCGGTCTACTCCTTCCTCCCTCTTCAGATACCCAGCCAGATTGAGCAGCTGATAATGCAGGATAGAAGAGGTTCTGAGTCATGTGGCTCTACTAATAATCTTTTTATTTATTTTTTTGTCTTTTTGAGACAGGGTCTCCCTGTAGCCCCAGCTGGCCTGGAACTCATTATGTAAACCAGGCTGAGCTTGAGCTCACAGAGCTCCGCCTGACTCTGCCTCCCAAGTGCTGGAATTAACTGGCTGGGAACAAGTTTTAGAAAGGAAGATATCCTTAAAAATGTGTCATGACTCTTTGAAAGTTACTATTTTTCTCCTTTTCTTCCCTTACATATTTATATCTTGTGTCCTTTAGGTTTGCTGTAATGGCACAAGAGTATTTGTGCAAAAGGAAATTATTGATAAATTTACAAAAGAGGTTGTGAAGCAGACCCAAAAGATAAAACTTGGAGACCCCCTCCTGGAAGATACAAGGATGGGTCCGCTCATCAACCGCCCACATCTGGAGCGAGTCCTTGGGTTTGTTAAATTGGCAAAGGAGCAGGTGAGAAATTAATGGAAGCTGGGCAGGGCATTATTATGGTTCCTTCTTGGAGCCCTCTTTTAATTAACATTCTTTGGCAGTTAGTGTCCCTGAGTGATGTCCTGCTTAGGGAGGGGAAGTGCTGTCTGCATTTGTTTGGGCTCCATTTTACCTTTCAGGAATGCATATGGGGTTGTGTGCTCAATATAGAAGATGCCTTCTTTCTGTTTTCACTCAGGGTGCTAGTGTGCTGTGTGGTGGAGATCTGTATGTACCCAAGGATCCCAAATTAAAAGAAGGATATTACATGACACCTTGCATTTTAAGTATGTATTATTCTTGTTTGCTTCTAGCTGGTTTGAATTAAATAGGTAGAAATGAATATTTATGAAATATGTAGATAGATAAAGCAAGGGTTAGCATATCATGTTTTCACTACCCAGGTTTAAGAAGTAGAAGTACTTCATTACTTTTGAAGCCTCCTAGGTGCCCCACCTCTAGGGCAACCATATGTATTGGTTTACCCGAGACACCTGTTCTGGAAACAAGGAGCAAAAAAATATATATTAAAAGAGAAACAATCCGCAAGTAGGCTGTCATATCCCTAGACAAATGTAATTTCTGTGTGCAAAATATGCATCTTTAAATTTATAGACAAGTTTCCCAGTCACCACACATCAAAGAAGCTTCTTTTTCAAGAGAGATAATTACAGAGTTCCACAACTGGTCACACACAGAGATTGTCTGTGAATTGCCCAAGCCTAAGTGGCACATCTAAGATATAACCTCTACACCCAAGACTCATGGAACATAGAACAAGGGATGAAGAGAACATTAATGCATCTTTCAGCTCTCATCAATGAAGCTCCCTCATGTAACAGAGGTCCAGGAATGCAAAAGGCCACAAATGACCAAAATGTAGAGAATAAGAGTCTTCAGAGTATGGATCCTTGGACAGGGCTCCTATATTAAAATTCACCCACCCAGGGCTCAGGGACCATTGTGGAAGAAGGGGCAGAAAGATTGTAAGAGCCAGGGAGGAGGTGCATGACCATATGGAAATAGTCCTACAGGTTCCTGGGACTCTTCTCATAGAAACCTACATCAGTGGTGTTAGCATGCACAAGACCCATGCAAACTTAAGCAGACAAAAACCCAGCACAGAGCTGTGGAAATGAACAGCAGGCCTCAATCTTAGTTGAAGAATTATTGGCAGCTAATAACTGCTGGGTGAGGAAGAGTTGGACTTCTTAAAGGGAGGGATTCTAGATAGGCTGACTAGATCCCAGTGGTTGAACTTGGACTGAGGGACATCTGGGGATGCTAACTTTACATGATAGGTCTTAACACAAATGACAGAAGGTATGAACTCCAGTGTGTGTGAAGGGCTGTGGGAGGGTCCCAAAGGGCCATGCAACATAAAGATGATTGTATGAAATACACAAAAAATTCAATAAAAAATTTAAAAATATGGTAATGATTCCTTGGTAACATAAGGAATGCTTTCCGTTTGAACTATAGAGTAGCAATGTAATAAAACCAATTTGTTTGATGTAATTTAATAAATTTAGTACATGTTTCATTCTTAAAACTCTGGATAGTCAAGTATACATGGTCATCCCACTCAAAGCCATTTGCTTCCCTCCTGTCTCAGGGACCCACTGCTTTAAACATCAGTTTTATCAATCTCATCACAGCGTGTGTCAGGATCACCTATGAAAACAGTGTTTTGTAGGCTGTAAGCAGTTTATCTATAGGTTAAATCATGTAGCATAATCCTTACTATTGGCCAACTAAGCTAATTTTGCCTCTGGCTGGGTAGATAATGATATCTTTCTTGGGACCTGATGAAGTCTAACTTAAAGAAATATCAACTGATGTTTAAAAGGTGTGAACCTAACATCCTTACCATGGAGTAAGTTAATAGTAGCAAAGGAGTAATGAATCGGAAAAGCTTATAATATGTGTTGTTAAGTGAAATCTATGGTATTACCCCAAATCTGTTAAAGAGTAGATAAAGCACAGGCAAAGGAAGGAACAGTGCGTCATAATATGGTACTCGTAGATTTCTCTGCGTGCTGGGATTATAGGTGATTTTTGTTATGCTTTGTACATTTCTGAATAGTATAGACTTTCTGCCAAGAATGTGTATTTTATAATTAGGTTTTAAGCAAACTGAAGCAAGGCAGAGAAGAGGGAGCTAACTATTCCAGTGACACTGAAAGCTGGCATGTGGTCTAATGCATGTGTATCACTTAGAAAACCTAGGAAGGCAGATTCCTGGTCCCTGCCCCCAGATCTCTGAGTGTCACTCTTAGCACCTGGGGCCTAGAGATAGGCATTGTAATAAACCCACAATTCATCTTTAGGCACATTAAAGTTTAGTAATTAGTCCTTAGTTCAAGGTCTGTGGAGTGAAGTGTGTGCTAAATAGGAACCTTCCTGTTCTTCCATGTCACCTGCTCTGTTTTATACCCACATCCCCACTGTGGAACTCATTGCCCACAGAGCCCAATTATGTTACCAACTTTGTAAGCTGATACAGTATTTTCTGAGTTGATTAATTAATCGTTTTGAGTGATTAAATAAAAAATTTAAGTGAATTACTAGTTTTCAAAGAATTAGAACACAGCTATTTGTAAACACAATCTATTGTTTATGTTGAAGACAGTACAGGTGCCTTATATACCCAGACTTGCAGGTAACCAATGTGCCATCCTCTCAAGAGGTTTTAGAATTGTCATCTTTGTAAATATGTGAGTTGTTGATTTTTAGACATTGGCTAATGAAAAGCCAGGGTTTATAGTAGGATTCCAAAACACTTTTTCATCCTCTATGTTATTTACATGTGTAAAACTACCTTGTAACCAACATTTCTCACTCTGAAGGGATTGCCAAAATTCAGGCAAGCTGCTCTTCGGGTAGGGCACATTTAAATGCACCTCCCTTTACAGATCCCTGGGACTCAGTACTGGAGCTTCGCTAGATATGCATAATTACAAGTCAGGTGTGAATTAAACGCATTTTAGGGAGTTAGCTATTTGAAGGACATTTGGTACTTTTTTTTTAGCAAATATATTTTCATTTATTTTTAAATTTTTAAAAAAATTTTATTTTTATTTTATGCGTAAGCATGTATTGCCTGCATGTAGGTAAGTGCACCCATGTCGTGCAAGGCCTGTGGAGGTCAGAAGAGGCTGCCAGATCCCCTGGGACTGGAGTTACGGACACTTGTTGGCTTCCATGTTAGCTGGGATTCAAACCTGGGTCTTTTGCAAGAACAGTCCGTGTTGTTAACCGCTGAGCCATCTCTCCAACCCCACAACATTATTTCTAATTATACCACAGAATCCATGCCATCTCTCCAGCCCCACAACATTATTTCTATTTATAATTATACCACAGAATCATTGAAAAAATTGTGTGACATTACATATAGTTTTGCATCATTTTCAGTGACTTTTGCCGTGAGCATTACTTACTGTTTTTCTTCAAAAGCATTGCTTTTAGAAACATCCTAAAAGCTTATTGGGATGTATGTAGTTTTTGTGGTCATTTCCTCTGTTTGGGGTGTTTTGTTTGTTGCTTCCTGCTTTCACTGTTATAAATGTATTGCACATACCTTTATAAGTAAATATTTCCTTCATTAGATATTTCTTTATGAATTCTGAAAGGTAGCTTTAGAATTATACAAAGGCTGACTAATACATATCATTGAATTGCCACACAAAAAGGAAGGTCTAACCTATATTCACAGTGGCATAGCCTGTTGAATTGGTTTTTTTAAAGCTACGAGCCTCACTGTTTACTGCACGCAGTATGTTTTTGGGTATATGAGATAATGCTCTGCTCACTGCCATTGTTTTTATTACGAATGTTGGCAGCTAATTGCAGAGATGATATGACCTGTGTGAGAGAGGAGATCTTTGGGCCAGTTATGTCCATTTTATCATTTGACACTGAAGCCGAAGTTCTGGAGCGGGCCAACGATACCACTTTTGGACTAGCAGCTGGTGTCTTTACCAGGTACGTGGATCAGCACACCCACAGCGGCTTGGGAAGGGATACTATATCTCCTTGGATATGGAGTTGATGTTGTTCCTCCCTAGAGTTTGTCCCTTTGGAGCCATCACTATGTTCTGTTTGCTTCTGTTTGTTTATTTTGTGGTGCTGAAGATCAGACTGAGCCACCCCTTACCTGTTTGCTTCAGCTTAATTCAGAAGATGCCAAAGTAGCACCTTGTAGTTTGCCCTGAATGGCCAGAGGACCCTGCCATGGAGTTCAGATTGAACTCTAAACTAAACTTTGTTCATAAAAATTCTGCTTTCGTTCATTCATTGTATAAATATTTAAGGTTGGGATCTGTGTAAAGCATTGGATTAGATAACTATTGAAAATACATTAAGGAATTTAATCTTTAAATACAAGATTTTAGTGCATTGTAGTAGTTCCTAATTGGGATGTGTTGTGACTCAGACTTTGTGTGTGTGTTGGATATTTTGGATGTTCCAATTTTAAATACTTTGTTGTGACTCACATTTGTACATAAATTTTAGCAGCTGTATTAGAGAAAAGAATTGGTTTTAGAGTAACCGTCTTTGAAAACAAGCTGGATGCCGTAGTACATGCCTGTAATTCCAGCACTTGGAAGGCTGAGGCAGGAGGATTATGAGTTTGAGACCAGCCTGGGCTACATAATAAGACCCTGACTCAAGAAAAAAAAGAAAAAGAAAATAGAATATGACCACAGATTTCTTGACTTTTACAAACTGGTTAGTCGTTGGCGGTGGGAAAGGAGTTCTTCTCATCTAAGCACTAATCAGGCCTGACTGCTCAGCTCTGAGATCAGACACATGCAGGATGGTGTGGCTGTAGACTAGAAGGCTCTGGGGATTGTGCTGTTTGCGTGGCGATACCAAGGTCAAGTATTGTGTGACTTTGTGGTCAGACACTTAGGAAGGAAGGCCCAGGTTTTCCTTCCATGGAAGGACACTTGATCCTCATGCAATTGCTTCCCTTTGAGCTCTGAAGAAAAGACTGGGACTCTGCTTTGCAGAGTTGGAGATGGAGTGAGTTAATAGTGCTCTTGCCTTTTTTCTTTCTTTCTTTCTTTTTTTTTTTGTGCTAGTGATGATTAAACATAGGACTTTGCACATGCTGATCCATAGCTTCGGCATCCCCAGCCCTCTTTTTTGCTTTTTATGTTGACGTAGGGTCTTTAAGTTGCCATGGCTGGCCTTGACCTAGTTCTATATAGCTCAGACAGGTCAATTCACATTTATTTGTTTTGTGTGTATATGTATGCTGGGAGTGGGGGGATGGGAGGGCCAGACATACCATTGTGAGCTTGTGGTCAGAGAACAGCCTGTTGGAGTTGGTTCTCCTACCACCATGTGGGCCCTGAGGATGGAACTCAGGTCATCAGACTTGGCAGCAAGAACTTTTACTTGCTGATCCATCTCACTGGCCTAGAGCTTGAGTTTTGGATCCTGGTGCCTTAGCCTCCCAAGTAGTGGGGATTACAGGCCTTTGAGTGCTCTTGCTTTACTTTGCTGTGTCCTTACAGGCAAAAGTCCAACCACAGGGACAGTAATCCCAGTATGTTGCTCCTTTTTTGCTTTTTAAACACTTTTACTATGGTAAATCAAACAATTCACTAATTTCAGTGTTTTCTAGTAAGATCACAGTGTTCTGAAACTGTTACATAGTGTGGTTTTAGAATATTATCTCAAGAAGAAACTGTTCCCCATTCCAGTCCTCCCCAGGCCCACAGCCATGGGTCTGTTTTCTGTCCCATTGTATTTGCCAGTTCTGAACATTTTGTATAAATGCAATCATATGAAAATGCATCATACAACATGCCCTTTTCTGACTGTTTTTTTCTTTTTGAGACAGGCTCTCCCTGTAGCCCCAGCTGTCTTTGAACTTGCTGTGTAGACCATGCTGGCCTCAAACTCAGAAAGATCTGCCTGCCTCTGTCTCCCATGTGCTGGGATTAAAGGTGAACACCACTATGTTGAGCCTGTTATTCATATTTTTAAGGTTCAAACCTTAAAACGAACATGTTGGGACATGTATCACTTCTTTATTCTTACCCTGTTTTCCATTGTATGGATAGACCATGTTTTTTGCTCATTTTTATCTTTTGATTGACACCTGTTGGTTTCTACTTTGTTTGTTTGCTATGAATGATGTCACTCACATTCTTTGAGGCTTGGTGTGAACATATACTTTCATTTTAATTGAGTGTATGCCTAGGAGTGAAATTGCTGAGTCATAACTTTTAACTTTTTTTTCTTTTGGGGGGGCAGAACAGGGTCTTCCTGTAGCCCCAGATGGAACTTGGTATGTAGACCAGGCTGGCCTCAGTCTCACAGAGGTCCACTTGTCTCTGCCTCCCAAGTGCTGGGGTTGAAGGTGTGTGCCACCCTGCTTGGCATTACATTTAACTTTTTGAGGAACTGCTATCTGTTTGCCCAAAAGATGGCTTGAATGACTTAACTCTCACTCACAGCATATAAAGTTTCTAATTTCAGGCATAGATTCCTACAAGTTTTCTTTTGACCTCCACATGCACTGTGGCATTCATGTGTCCCCTTCCCACTACAATAACTTTTTTTTAAAGTTTTTAATTTCTCCACATCTCCATCAGCCCTCCTAGTCATCTGTTCTTTCAATTTTAGTTGTCCTGGTGTGAACTTGTATTTCACTGTGGTTTTGGTTCATGTTTTGGTGGACTTTTTCCCCCATTTTTGTCTGTTACTTCTGGGATTATATTTAAGGAGGCTTTGTCTAATCCAGGGTCTCTTTTTGAGGGTCTGTGCTCCAAGTGAGTGGATATTTGTGTAGGGTATAAGAAGATGCTCCAGCTGGGCATAGTGGTACAGGCCTTTAATCCCAGCACTCAGGAGGAGAGGCAGGCGGATCTCTGAGTTCCAGGACAGCAAAAGCTATACAGTGACACCCTGTCTCAATACCCCCTCCCCTGCCTCCATTTTTATCCCTCTGTATATACGTGTTCTCACATTGCTTTAGATTTTTTTCTCCCCATTGAATTACTTTGGCACACTTGTTGCTGCATTTTTTATAGATTCCTATTAGATGAGACTATAAATCCCATCTGTGTGTATTTTGCCTGAATGATAAAAATGTTTTAAATATTTTGAAGAAAGGGGCTGGAGAGATGGCTCAGTGGTTAAGAACACTGGTTGTTCTTGCAGAAGACCCGGGTTTGAATCCCAGCATCCACATGGCAGCTAACAACTGTCCGTAACTCTAGTCCCAGGGGATCCGACAGCCTCTTCTGACTTCCGTGGGCATTGTACAACACGGGTGCAGTTACCTACAGATGCAAGCAATGCACACATACACATAAAATAAAAAAAAATTTTGAAGAAACAAAAATTTGGCAAGACTTGAGGATTCTTAGAGCCAACAGCCTCTTTCTTCTAACAGTGTAGCTTGAGAAGCCATGAATAACCACTGTTAATGTTTTCCTTTGCAGGGATATCCAGCGGGCTCACAGGGTGGCAGCCGAGCTTCAGGCTGGAACCTGCTACATTAACAACTATAATGTCAGCCCAGTGGAGTTGCCTTTTGGTGGATATAAGAAGTCAGGTGAGGAGGCAGGAAATGTGAAAACAAACCCAATTTCCAGGGATCCCATCCTAACCAGTACTGATACACCAGTGTTCCTAAGCCTGTCTGTGTATTAGCATCGCCTGGGTAAAGTCCATGGAGTCCCAGTCCCACTGGTTGGTCTCTAGGAATTCAGGCCAGGCATTTCAGTGGGTTATACACCAGGCATTCTGGTGTGTAGCATGGCTTGTGAACTGCTGATCCACATCTCAAGAAGGTTTATCTTGAGGGTAGCACTACTTTTTCTTTAGAGTTTGTGATTGCTGGGAGCACTCTCACTCCTCCTGAGGCTCCACACACACCTGACCATCATTAGAGCTTAGGCAAGGTATTGAAAGCCATATCTAAGAAAGCTGCTATTGATTGGTTGTCTCTGTTGGCCAAAATTCATAAAACCTCTTAATTTAACATTCAGCATAATTCTAGTCATCATTTCTGTTCTGGATGGCTCCCTAAGCCACTGCTCTCTCATTTCAGTCAGACATGTGTCACCATAGTGAGATATGTGTAAGTCTAGTATGTCAGGGGTTGAGACAGCAAAAATATAACCATTACTTTGAAGTTCTTTCTTTGGAGTTTGGTACTTCCAAATATTCATTAATTCTACATACTTTTAAACTGAAAATTGATTTGAACACAATTCTGAGAGTCCAGCCCCTGGTCTTCGGACAATATTTACAGCCACCTTCATGTTGGTGAATATATAAACTCTTGACAAATACTGATGTGATAGTGGTTGTTGACAGTCCTGTTTGGTACTTAGCATTATCCTGGTATTCTCTAACAACATTCCACTAGCTGTCTTCATTCCAGTGGGGGACACAGAGGAGATATACACATGGGTAGATGCAAGAGGGAATCAAGGTACATTTTATTAATAGCTTTCAGTACAGGGCTTGAGCGTTGAGGGCCCAGAGACCAGTTTTCATCCTCTTGGAGCCAGGTCTGCCAATGTGGGATGAAAAAGAAAGATGGTGAGATATACAGATTGCCTGGCCTGGTATCTTAGCCAGCTGTGAGCTTGGAGGACTTGAAAACAAGATTTCTGGTCCTTTCTTGCTTGCTTACAACAGAAAGGCCAAGCACGGCATGTTATCCCTTTAACAGTAACGCTATTCATTAGGGACTGGGCTGTGTCTGGGGTTCTGAGTAATCAAGGAACCTGAAGGAGATTGTTCCCACATGCACAGAGGTTACTAAGCTTGATAAATAGAGTTGCATTTTAAATGAACACCACTTTTTAGAGTTGTCAGGTTGATTCTTATAGAGGCTGCTTTAGCACTTTTAACATGTGATGCTTTGTTTGTTTCGAGACATAGTCTTAGTGTATCCCAGGCTGGCCTCGAGCTCTCTATATAGTGAGGAGGATGACCTTGAACTGAACCTTCTGCTTCCATGTCCATCCAGTGGTGGGATTACAGGCATGTGACACAACACCCAGGTTATTCGGTGCCAGGGATTGAACCTGGGACTTCGTGCATGCTAGGCTCCAGCCTTTAACATGTTTTTCAGATGCTCACCTAGAATAGCACACACCTGAGATTAGGATTCATATTGATTGATAAGAAATGAGACCTGTGTAGTTTCCTGTCCTCTTTTCATAGACCAGTGGGTTATACTTCTGCCCCTTGCTCCACAGAAGTACATAGACTTAGGACTGATTACCACCTGGATAAGCAGTGCCTATCTTTGAATCCGTGTGTGGCTTCAGACAGTCGAGGTTACAGCTCACCATCTTCTTTTCCTTTCAGGATTTGGCAGAGAAAATGGCCGGGTGACGATTGAGTATTATTCACAGCTGAAGACGGTGTGCGTGGAGATGGGCAATGTGGAATCTGTTTTTTGAAAACGTGCGGTGGAGCCTGTACCTGTGGCCAGGCTGTGGAATGAGTGGACTGTTGTGATGGTGACTGGGTAGCGTCTGAAATCCAGGCTTTGGGCCATTCGGGATGAGGGAATGGTCAGGGTTGTCCTCCATCTTGGAGTCACCTTCCTAATTGAAAATATGTGCAAGTGCCTTTCAGACACTAACCAAGGAAGCAGTGCTGTTCTTCCAAGCAGGTTTCTTTTAAACGCCAGCAGCACACTGACCAGAGAACAGGCAGGCCAGGATTGTGCTTCTATGCATTTGAGCCACTAACATTGTTAATTTCCTAGCTCACTTTAAAGAACTTGTTCCTTTGAAGGTTCCTGACAGAATCAAAAATGCCTTTTGTTCATTGAAAAGTTTTGAAAATTTCTTAAAGCTTTTAGTTCGAGACAGAAAAATTCTAATTACTTATGGAAAACATGTATGTGATTCATTGACATTTTTAAAGCAGTATTCTTTTGGGTCAGTGAGATAGCTCAGTGGGTAAAGATACTTGTAATGCAAGCCTGATGACCTGAGTTTGATTCTGAGAACCAACATAAAGGTGGTGCATGCTCCATCCTCATATCATACATACAATAATAATAAAATTCTGAAGAAAAAACCCCAAACCCTGTATTCTTTTGTCATTTTATTGAGAAAGCTAACAATCTGGATAGAGAGGGCAACAGATTGGGTCAAAGTTTATCTTAGTAAATGCTTTGATTCCATTATTTCCATAGAAGACATACCTCTGGTCCTTGAACTGCAGCCTGCTCTCTTACAGTAGAAGAGAAGGCTTTTGAATTACATGAATTATTTTTATGTAACTGTGGCATAGTGAAATTAAAATAATTCACACTGTTAGCCTTTTGCTGTCTTGTTTTGAATCTCATCACATCTTAAGGCTCAATGGGACAGAGGATGAAAGCACTGAACAGAGGGAGGTGATCTTGTAAATACAAAGGGCAGGTTGAGATTCTATAAACAACTTTTTTTGAATCTGTGCCCTTGCTAATAGCCTACCCTGAAGAACTGTCAGACACTGTGACCCTGGACCTCTTCAGTGAAGCCTGCCCTGTGCTTGGCTCCTTTCTGAGGAATAGCTAAATAATAGTGAGATAAGGAACAGTTGTCTTTACTGGATCTGGATCTCATCATTTCCTAGGTTGGTTAAGGCAGTTTGAGAGCACTGGAATGATGATTATGTCAGCCTTTCCTGGTGTTTATTTGTCCTGAGGTCAGGTGATACTGAGCCAGGCTACAGAATTCTTCCCCTCCTCCTGCATAAGGATCTTAGGATCCTTATGCAAAGTAAACAGGATGTTCTGGTGAGAGGACAGTTTTCTACAGCAACAACAGCAGAGGAAAGGAGCATCTGAATACCCGGCCGGCAGATTTCTATTGCTGTATCCCTGTTCATGTCTCACTGAAACTGATCTAAGGAAATCAGTATCCCCGAATTCGGGTAGAAATAGATTTGCAGAAGTCTTGATCCTACACAAGTCAGTAAATTGAGCAGGTTCAAACCTGGTCTGGGACTGGTTTCTGTGCTTTCTGTAAAGCTTCATGTATATAGTGCCTGGAGGTCAGACATTCAGATGGTCTCACTTCACCAAAACCAAGGAGTTGCAGAACTGCTCTTAGAGGTTCCAGGAAAATGTGGTAGTTTGGACCCTTAGTGTCTTTCAAAGGTTCATAATCTAAAGGCTTGGTCCCCACAGTGTTGCAATTGGGAGGCGGTTAGAACCTTTAGGAGGTAGGGACTTGTTAAAGATAATCAGGAAGGGTTCCCTTGAAGGAGACTGTGGGAGCCCTACCCCTTCCTCTGTTTCCTGGTCACGAGATGAGCAGTTTGGTTATCATGTGTTGCTTCAAATAGGTCAGAAACTGGGCCAATCATTCATAGACCTGAACTTTGGAAACCATGAGACTAAACAAAACTCATTCCTCTTGTAAGTTATTCCAGGTATTCTGTTACAGGGATGGAAAGCTGACATGCTGGATACTGTCCTCGCTTCCTTGAGCTGCAGCCCTTGGCTCTTGACCATCATTGTCTAAGCTCTTTAGTATCTTCAACTCTCTGTTTTCATTCTCTGTAGATGAGTCTCTTAGAACACTTGTGTTTAATTTTAGGGCCCACTTGGATAGTCCATAATAAAATTCTCATCTCAGGGTAGGTACTTCACCTGCAGAGTCCCTCTGGCCATATAAGGGAACATTCACAGGTTCTGGAAATCAGGATGTGACTGCACTGGAGAAGGCCTGGAGTGTTTGGCCTGCCATCCCTACATGGTCTAAAGTGTATTTTGGAATGTTAGCTGTTGGGTTTCACAATCACAGATCTGGATATGACTACATATAAATGGCTCTAACTCATGCTTTAGGATGTCTTTGATAGATCCCAGTGCTAAGGGCATTGATAGATTTTTTTGAATTGTTAGTACAAGAAGGGAAAATGCAATCTCCAGTTGACTTCTTTACAGTAGCTCAGAATCTGCACCAGTGTCTAGTCTTGTTAGTGACCCCATGTAGAAGTAATCCCCAATTGAACAGGTCTATCTATAAAAGGGTAGCCACTGAGCCTCTTTTCTGTCAGCTATACCAGAGTCCTTTCTGTCTAGGGCAAGAATCTGGCAGTAAGAAAATTGGTTAAAGCTGAATACCACTCCAAGTTATTCATCAAAAACTTCCCTAGATGACCCTTCCACTAGCAATGAATAAAAGTTCCTTTTACAGCCATTATGGAAATCAGCATGGAGGTTTCTAAAAAAAAAAAAAAAGAACCACCATGTGACCTAGCCATCCCACTCCTGGGCATTTCCCCAAAGGACTCCATATCCTACTACAGAGACTTGCTCATCCATGTTTATTGTTGCTCCATTCACAACAGTGAAGAAGTGGAGCACATCCTTGGTATCCATCAGCAGAGGAGTGGATAATAAAAATGAGGTGTACATACACAATGGAGTTTTACTCAGTGGTAACAAAAAATAAAATGAGTTAGCAGGAAAATGGATAGAGCTGGCAAGTATTAAGTGAGGTAACCCAAACTCAGACAAAGACTACATGGTCTATCGTATGAGGATCCTAGTTTGTGTGTGTGTGTGTGTGTGTGTGTGTGTGTGTGTGTGTGTATAAATGTGGGTAAAGATAGAAAAGGTGAAGAAAGAGTAAAAGGTGCTGAGGAAGGGGGTGAGTGGGTATCAAAGGACACATGACATGAGAGCAGAAAGGAGACTGGGGGTGGGGAGTGGCAGGAGGAGCGGAAAGGGAGGGAAATGATGGGAAGAGACTCATACTGTCAGTTGTGTTTGAAAATGCCATTATGATTCCTAATACTTTGTGTGCCAATTTATGTGTATGAGTATTGCATGTACGTAAGTGCACCTGTGTTGTGCAATGCCAGTGGAGGCCAGAAGAGGGCCTTGGATTCCCCTGGAACTGAAGTTATGGATGGTTGTTATCCACCATGTGGGTGCTAGGAATTGAACTTGGGTCCTCTGCAAGAGCAGCCAGTGCTTTTAATGGCTGAGCCATCTCTGCAACTGTATGCTAATTTAAAAATAAAATAAACTTCCTTAGAAATAAGAGCGCTCTGCCCCAGATCTCACCAGCTTTACAGTGTTGATGTCTCTACTGCAGCTTTTCTGAAATGCTCAGGTCTAAGTTGGGCCTTCTTCTGAAATAATGAATCCTTATTTTTTTCCTTATACGTAAAGACCTATTTTTGTCTTTATTTTTAAATGGGGAAGAGGAGTAAGCAAAGGTAATAAAAACAGCAACTAAATGATACTGTGAAGAATGATGTAAAAATCATTAGTGTTTTTAGTCAGTCAATGAGGTTGCAACATGTTCTTGCTTAGGCTTCCGGTGCAGTTAGAATAAAACCTAAGGTCTGTACCACGACCATCAGCATTGTCCTCTGATTGCAACTTTTTCTTTTCACCTCTCACTTCTGTTTCTCTGCCAGGCTGTTCCCTCTTCCTTTTAGAACATTTTTCGATCTTCACTTTAACAGGCTCCTTAAAACCAAAGTGTAAAAATCTGCTGCTTCAGGTCATGCAATCAGCATACACTTTATGATCTTATTTACATAAAGCATTATTTGAAAAATTGTTCCCACCTTAATTCTGTCTTTTACTTGAATGTAAGCTGAAAGCAAGAACTGTCCTGTTATTGGGCTCACAGAAAGGATTTGGTGCTTGAACAGGTGTTACTTAGTGTGGCCTAAGGACCAGCAACACCTGCTTGTTAGAGATGCAGCAGCTCAGTCCACCTCAGATCTGTGAGCCTGGGTCTGTACTTTAATAAGATCCTCAGGTGAATCATAAGCATGGTACTTTGCCAGGCAGCACTTGCAGAAAATAGGTTCTTGAGCTTGGCTCTTTATTACTGCTGCCCAGAGAGCTTTAAAAACACTGAGCTGCTAATTTAGTTGATCTGGGCATCTGGAATCTCAAAAGGTCCCAGATGGTTAACAGTTGAGAACCATAGCTACAAGTCCAGGAACTGCTAGCAAGGTAACTAATGAAAATTAAATAGAAATTGAGCTTTTCAGTTGCTTTAGCCACATTTGAAGCACTTAGTAGCCACACATGGGTGCTGGCTGCTTTACCGGACAGACATGGCACATTTCCCCTCATGCCAGTAAATTCTGCCAAGTGTTGCTTAAAGAGGATGGAACTAAGAGGCTGCTCATTTTTTAGAGTGTACTATTAGTAGTATTTACATATTTTTATTAATTTGTCTACATGAGTAAATGTGTGTGGTGTCTATGTGAGTGTATGAGTGTGAGCACCCATGTGGCGGTCAGAGGACAACCCAAGGGAATCATCCTCTCCTCCCACCATGTGGGTTCTGGGATTCAAACTCAGGTCATCAGCTTGGTAGCAAGTGCCTTTATCCATTAAGGCATCTTGCTAGCCTGAGACTGGACATTTTGATTAAGGCAGGAGAGCATATTAGAGATGAAAAGGGAAGCAGGATATGTATAACCTGCTGCTTACTTTTGCTGGGTTACACCAGCAGGTGGCTCCCGTGCTTCCTACAATGCCTTGTGCAGGAACAGCATTAGACCCAATATAAGCCTTCTCTTGTCTGGTCTTTTCATGCCTGTTTTCAGTAGCGCTGGCTCAGCTGGCAACCAAGGCAGGAGCAGCAGAGCAGGAGTGGCGGCTACAGCTGAGCAGTGGCAGGTCAAGCTGGGAAAGGGGCAAGGCAGCCGGCTGCTTGACAGCTGACGCAGCAGCAGCCAGACAGTCTGAGGGTGGCCAGGGCAGGAAGGGTGGGAGAAACAGAATAGAGAGACAGGCTGGGCGCAGAGCTGAGCCTGAAGGATAATTGGCTATTAGGATTCAGAGCAGAGAAACCGCAGACCCTGGTCACTGGAAGAATGCCAGAGTGCTGTCACGTCCTCAGGACTAAGGGTCTCAGACCCTGGGCCAAGGGCTGTAACTCACAGCTGTCAGGGGCTGAGGAATCCAGGTTCTAGGCCTGCCTGGACACCGCAATGCCAGCCACCTGCAGGGCTGAGTCCAGACACCTGGGCCTGCATGATACTGCATGAGACTGCTGCTTCCACCTGCTCACTACAGCTACTCACTGCTGCCAGCCAGGGAAGTGAGGGTTCCACAGATTGGCACTGGGTCTTCCCACCCTTCCTTCCTGAGCCTGGAGGCTGCAGTGGGAGGAGACCCGGCCCACTAGGTACATTTCTCCCACAACATGGATAAAATCCTAGTTTATACAGAGGATCACCGATGTCACTTTTTCTTTTCTTTTTTTGGTCTTTTTGAAACGGTGTCCCTGTAGCCCCAGCTGGCCTAGAACTCACTATGTAGACCAGGCTGGCCTTGAACTCTCAGAGATCTGCCTGCCTCTGCTTCCCAAGTGCTGGGACTACAGGCATGTGCCACCATGCCTGGTGCCGATGTCACTTTTTCTAGTCAGAACCAAACCCTCCGATTTTATTGCACCATCATTCATGAACGAACACTTGCTGCTAAAAAGAAGGAAAACTAAAGCTTTATTATTTAAAAAAAAAATCATGTTTTTTTTCTACACTGGTGAAAAATTCTCACAACCTGACCCTGGAATATAGTCTTTAAAAAATAATTTATTGTTTTTTATTTTATGTGTATGTGTATTCCCTGCATGTATGTGAGTGCATCCATGTCGTGCAATGCCCACGGAGATCAGAGGAGGGCATTGGATCCCCTGGAACTGGAGTTACAGACAGTTCTTCGCCATCATGTGGGTGTAGCCGGTGTTCTTAACCCCTGAGCCATCTCTCCAGCCGCCTGGAATGCACTCTGATCTAATCCTCAAGGGGCCCGCAGCCATCTGGCGAAGGCTGACCATCTTCTGCCTCATTGTTGAAGCTTGAGAATACAGTAGTTAGTGGAAAATTCATGGGGCTATAGAGGCAGGTCTGTGTTCAAATCTCAGCTCTAGGCCTCAGAAGCTACTGAGCATTTGAAATGTAAGTGGCACATATGAAGAACTTAAGGGTTTTTTTTGGTTAGGGTCTCTCTGTAGCCCCAGCTCACTATGTAGACCAGGCTGGCCTTGAACTCACAGAGATCCACTTGCCTCTGCCTCCCGAGTGCTGGGATTAAAGGCATGTGCCACTATACCTGGCAGTTTTTTGCTTTTTTTGTTTTTAATTTAAACGTTAATCTGAAAAGCCACCCATAGCTAATGGCTACCATGTTGGACAGCAAAGATCTGAGCACTATGTTTCTGTTTTATTTTTTTTAATATTTATTTTTATTTTATGTATGTAAGTACACCCATGTCATGCAATGCACGCAGAAAAGGATTTCAGATTCCCATTGAACTGGTTATTAGCCACCATGTGGGTACTGGGAATTGAACTTGGGTCCTCTGCAAGAGCAGTCCATATCCTTAACCACTGAGCCATCTCTCCAGCCCTTATAGTTTGGTTTTAAACTTTATGGTCAACTTTAGTTTTTGGAGCAGCTTTTTGCCAATTTGCATCATTCTTGGCTGATGTATAAATCGGCTAAGACCCTGAGAACCTTTCCCCATTTGCACCTATGCAGTCAGATACAGTACAAAAAAGTACAAAGTTACATTGATTCTTATTAAGCTGCTTCTTCTTAGTCTACTTTTTAACTTTTTAAGCAATAGAAGCAATCGTCAATAGATTTAAAAAATCCTTTGCTATAATAATTATTAGTACCAAGCAATATTAGATTCTAACCAGAAGACTTTAATTTTTTTTTTTAACTGTTGTGGCATACATATGAACACCACGGTCAGACTTTTTCTCAGCTTCACAGATGAGGGATACCTGATACCACTGGCTCTGCTCTTATCTAGTAGGAACAGCCTAATTATTTCAGAAAGACACTCAAAAAGAAATGCATAGTAGAGTCAGTAGGTTTAGATATGAGGCTAATGCCATATAAGTTTTTATTATATTTGGAAAAAAATGTAACTGGAAATAAAGGTAAGTCATTCAAAATGAATCAGAGTTGAACCCCTATGATTTTTTCAGTGGTGACATGACACTTTGACCCACCGCCCAAGCTGGGTCTAATCCAGCCAAGATGCTGGAAAGCAGAGCACACTGTTGTGCCCATCAAGGCAAAGAGGGCAAGAGACCCCACAGCTCCACGATACCGCTTGCTAGGGTCTGAAAAAGAAGAAAGCAAGAAGTTACCAGACCACCCATAAGCTGTCCTACTGCAGCATTTGAAGACATACATTTGACTGCCTGGTTTATGGAAGCTGACCAACTGTAGCCTAGAGCTATCAGTATGTTAGATGCTGCTTGTAAAGTAATGCTACAGTAGCATTGCCTTGAATTTAGAGAATTACATAATTAAAGCTACTTTATTTTAGGACCTTTAGATGCATTTTCCTCCCTGTCAATGAAGTACAATTCAAAAATGCCATTTATTTATTTTTATTTTATTATTTATTTCTTTATTTCTTTATTTATTTATTGTCTTTTTGAGACAGGGTCTCCCTGTAGCCCCAGCTGGCCTGGAACTCACTATGTAGACCAGACTGGGCTAACACAGAGATCCACCTGCCTTTACCTCCCAAGTGCTAGGATTAAAGGTATGTACCACCACACCCAGTTTAGAAGCCCATTTTTTAAACTGTCTCCTCATCTCTAAAATAGGCTGTTATCTGGACACAGAATCTATACGAGGTTACATAGCATATATAAAGTAACCAGAACACAAAAATGCTCAGTTAAAAAAATAAGGTTTACTACTATTCAAAGATTAACAAAAATAGAGAATAAGCCTTCCTCTTTAATTATCAAGCTACTTTCCCTTATCTTAAAGCCCTGCTAAGAGTTAAAATACAGTAGCAAAAGAATTTAAAATTAAAATTTGTTTCTGGGTCTGGAGAGGGAACTTGAAATTTAAGAGTACTTGCTGCTCTTGCAGAGGACCAGAGTTCAGTTCCTAGCACCCATGTTTGATGGTTCACAGCCACCTGTAACTCCAGCTCCAGGGGATCCAACATCTTCTGGCCTCTGCAGGCACCAGCACACACGTGTGCATACACACAAACAAAGATAAATCTAAGATTCATTTCTTTTGCAGATGTCAACATGTACTTACCTCCTGTGTAGTAGCCATATGCGTAAAGAACTCGCCCAACAATCCAGGCCAGGCCCAAGCCAGAAGCTACGCGCTAAAAGAAAAGGACTATTCAGTGTTTGCATTGAAGAAACATACCTTTTAACACCAAGAGCTGGCTATACATGTGTTAGCCAAAAGTTAATAATTTCATGAATTTGCTAAGATACTCTCCACCAAAGTTAGATTGAATGAAGTACTTTGTTTAGATCAGGAAAAACTAAAATTCCCTCCTCCCCCAAACAACAGCAAAACCCTAAAGACCTACAGTTCTTCTATAAACTGCCTGCATGGCTGGGAGCTGAGTACTAGCTTTCCAGATGGGTGGATTAGAAGGAACTTTCTGTCTTGCCCTGGGCATCAGCCTGAACTATCAGACTGAGTCAGGGGAGGAAACTGACCAGAAGTCAGGATTTCATAGAACACCCTGCTGTCTGAAATGGGCCCCTAAGTACCACACTGACTGAAGGACTGCTGGGCTGCAACATCTCTAGTGACATCAACTGCAGCAACTGCTGGAAGCAGTTGGTGCTGTACCTGCACACAACAGGGATGGGGCTCGACAAGGAAAGGTGAGGAGAATGTATAGCATTGTGAACCCCTGAGTATGCAGCTGTGAGGAAAAATCCCCTCCCCCCATTCCCAACACCCTTGACAGGAGACAGTCAAACCTTATGTAAAACGAAAAGGCTTTTCCTCCGGTGCCATTCTGGAGTGCCCCATTTGGCCAGAGAAAGAGGAAAACAATAGTGGGTTGTGTGAGCAGGTCCCTTTCTTAAGTCTCTTTCCAACTGGGTAGGACTATTTGTGGTGTTAATTACTATGTCAGGATTTTTTGTTTGTTGGGAGTTTGATCCTGGAAAATAAGTATCAGCAGGAATGACTGCCTAAGACAAAACCCCCAGTTTGCGCTGTTTCTTAGTCTCTCCAGGCTGTTCTCTCCCAGTGCTCACAAAGCAGGCTTTGGGATGCTGCAGACACCTGTAACTCCTGCTCCCTCACCTCCTGTAAGTCTTGCTTAACTGTCACCTTCTCAGCAAGAGCCCCGGCTCTGACCACACTATTCAAAATCACTGAGCCCCACATTCCCCTTCCACCTCCCTTTTTGTCTCTGAGTATTTACCACCTTCTAACATATCACATAAATTACTTATGGTGCTGTTTGCCACCCAAACTGAAGGGAAGTTCATAAACCCAAGTGTCTTGTTCACCTCTGTAACCTCAGATATGAGTAAACATTTGCAGCATCAATGAATGAATAAATGATGAGAAAAATGAAAATGATCATCGCTATAAACCTTTTAGAATCAGACCTGGGTTCAAAGTCTGATTCTCTACTCTGTATCTAGTTGACCTCATGAAATAGCAGTTACAAGGTTTTTCCTCAATCTTCAAAAAATGAGTGAAATGTTACCTGCTTTAAAGAACTTTGTAACAAATCATTAAACAAAAATTTTAAAGAAATTTTGCCTGAATGTAAGAGCACCATGTATGTGCAATGCTCGAGGAAGTCAGAAGAGGACATCGAATCCCTTGGACCTTGAGTTAAGGATGGTTAGTAGCTGCCATATGGACGCTGGGAACCCAACCCAGGTCCTCTGCAGGAGCAGTCAGTGCTCTTAACTGCTAAGCCATCTCTCCAGTCCCTAAATAAAATTGTTTTAAATACATGATACGTAGACATTGAGGCTGCCCATTCAATGTTCATTTCCTACTCCCCGGTCTGAAGGTAGCTCAGTGAAATAAATCTGAATAGATAAATAGTCCCTGGAGAAACTTACCGGGTGGTAAACACCTCCAACAGCTAGAAAAAATAGGAAGGGAGGATACACTTCCAACCTGGAATAGACAGAATAAGTTTTTAAAAAGTGTCCTCTGCCAGGCATGATGGCACAGGCTTTAATCCCAGTACTTGGGAGGCAGAGACAGGCAGATCTCTGTGAGATTGAGGCCAGCCTGGTCTACAAAGTGAGTTCCAGGCCAGCTGGGGCTACAGGGAGACCCTGTCTCCAAAAAAAAAAAAAAAAAAAAGTGCCCTCATATAAGTATGTATATATAGAACTAAGGGACTCTGCATTCATGCTCCAGGTTAGAAGTCCAAGAGTACAAACACACACTGACTTCAGGGAGAAGATGGGGTGCCAGCACCTGCCTGCTTTTGCTCCGTATAAGACTACAGGGTCACTATGAACATGCTGAACAAAAGAACCTCACATTCTATAAACGAAGAAGGTCTTGGCAGATTCGAGAAGGGTTGCTGACAGAACCCAAAATGTCCTCAGAATCTGAGGCATGGAGGTGGCCCATCAGCATTGTGGTTTCAATCTGAAATGCCCCATACAAGCCCATGTGCTTGAATACTTGGTTTCCAGTTAGTGACGCTGTTTTGTGAGGTTGTGGAATCTTTTGGACACAGGGCCTAATTGGCAGATGTAGGCCACTGGGGGTGGGCTTTGAGGGTTACAGCAGAGGATTCACTTCCTGTCTGCCATTATGTGACCAGCCACTAGGTCCTTGCCACCACCAGCAGGAGCCAATCCAGATGTCAGGCTTTCCCTGCCATAATAGTCTGCTCCCTCAGAACGGTAAACCAAAATAAATCCTTCACTAAGTTCTCTGACAGGTATATGGTCTCAGTGAAGAGAAAAGCAGTGAAAACAGTCGGTTTAGATAAGATCTACTGCAAACTCTGCAGAAGGGAAGTAACAGTAAGACACTGTGATGGTTAAGTGTCAACTTGACAGAATCTAGAATCACCTGGGAGAAGGGCCTCTAGGCCTGCCTGTGGATGATTATCTTGACTGTGTTAACTGAGGTGGGAAGACCCACTCACGGATGGTGGTACCATTCCCTGGGATCCTGGACAGTATAAATGGAGAAAGGGAGCTGAGCACCAGCCTGCATTCACTGCTCTCTGCTTCCTGATTGTGGATGAGATGTGACCAGCTACATCAAGCTTCTGCACGTTGATGGACCGCACCTTTGAACTGTGTGAGTTGGACTAAACCTATTCTCCCTTAGCTCCTTTTTGTTAGAGAATCTTATCATAGCAATCAGAAAAGACATTAAAGACTTTTCTGAAAAGATTAGCTAGAAATTTTTCCATTCTAAAAATTCTTAATCTAATTCAGTATTCAATTTGTTTACACACTATTTTGGGGAAGAGGAAGGGAGATCTCACTATGTAGCCCAGCTGACCTGGAACTTTCTGTGTAGACTAGGCTGGCCTTGAATTCAGATATCTGCCTGCATCTGCTTCCAGAATGCTGGGAATAACATCATGTGCCACCATCACCACCATACACAGCTTCAAAATATTTTAAATTACATTTTTATGTATCGTGTGTGTGTGTGTGTGTGTGTGTACATGTACAGGTGTGCCATGGCATGTGTGGAGGTCAGAGAACAATGTCTCTCCTACCATGTGGGTCCCTGGATTCGAGCTCAGACTTTCAGGCTTGGTGAAAAGTGCCTTAATCCTCTGAGCCATCTTGTCAGCCCCACACACTAACTTTTCAGGAGGTGCCAGTGATTGTCATGCTATCACTCAGCAAAAGCAGAGACTGAGGACTGATGTGATGGGCAGAAAACACCCATCTGCAGACATCCTTGCCATCTGGCAGTGCTGACACTCACGTGTTCTGGTGGGCTCGCTGAATGCAGTTGAAGAGATGGCCATTCTCAGGATCTGTGCTGTACATGACAGGGTACTGTTAAAACAAAACATGCATCAATCAAATGGTGAAGCATATCATTCAGTGTTAAAACTAACCTTCAAAATAATACATCCCAAAGCATCTTCTATTATACTCTTGATGAACACTTGATTTCTGCTTCAATATTTGTAGTGACAAGTTTTCCATTCTCAGAAGGAGGCTCAATGTTTCTATCTAGTCTCCAGTAGGAAGAACCCGTGACTGTGTTGTGGTTGTGCAAGAACTAGGAGGGCTTCTGCCACACCAGTGTTTCCCAGTGATGTCATGCATCAAGGAGGATTGTAGAAGCAGTACAGAGACACACAGAGAAATGGCTGATTCCCAAGAGTCATCACACACCACATCCTTTTAAGATTTCCCTTAATAGGGAACAGATAATTGAGTGTGTGAAGATTTTATTGGAAATGTCTATTAGAATAAAAAGAGAAGCAGCTAGACTAAAAAAAGCCCAACAACTTGAAAAGAAGCTCCAGTGAGGGACTCTAATTACAAGATGCTAAACACAAACAGACATGTAATGGCTCACCAGGGACAGCTTGAGAAGTAAACCTCCAAGCTCAGCTAGAACTAAAGGGAGTGCTTAACAGACCTCCTTCCTACAGCTACTAGCTAAGCCTGGCTTAAGTTCAGCATCTCTTCTCCACTTGTAAAACAGGAAAATCACCTTAAGACATTATTTTTAAAGTGGCATACTAGGAAACAATGCTGGTACTTAATCCTCTTTAGAAAATAGCACTGTTCCTAGCAAACAGCACCAGCCCAAAGCAGACCAATTTAATCCCAGTATACCTGGTCTTTCTGCAGAAAAGACAAAGTCCAACAAGATGGAAACCACTCTCCAGCAGTCCTCACGTTTCCTGCCTCTTAGGAGCAGAATTCCTAAGAGGTATATGCTGAAAACTGCTACCACCTGACATTAGCAACTCGGCTTTCCCTCCAGTACCGAAAACAAGTCTTTGGATAAGCCTGCGGTCTGGAACAAGCCTACAAAAGCACCAGCCTGTGTGCGGTCCCACTTACCTCCACCTTGTACTTCTTGCGGGCCTTGTTCACGTTGAGAGCCAGGTGCATCACCATCACAAAGCTGGCAGCACCAGTGAGGACCACGAAACCATATTCCTTAGAGAGGATAGCCATCTTGGCTCTGTGAAAGAAAGCATGCCACACTAGGAAATTGACCCAACACTGTCGCATTGTGTGGTGGGAGGCCTTGTGTAACACAATGCCTCCTTACCAGCAGATGCATACACATCAAAGCGATGTTTCAGAGCTAGGAGATGGCTCAGTGGGTAAAGTGCTTGCTGTGTAAACATGAGGACCTGAATCTAGATCCTGAACACCCTGTATCTCTGTGCCTGGGGGTGGGAGTGGGGATGGAGGCAGAGCTTGGTAGCCCCCTGACCAGTCACTGTGGCTGAAATGGTAAGATTCAGGTTCAATGTCAGATCCTGCCTCAAGAAATAAGGTAGAGAGCAAAAGAGAAAGATACCCAAAGTTGACTTCTGGCCTCCACATGAATTTGCACAGGTGAGAGAGTGTACATGTGCACATATACATTTGCACATGTGTACAAATATGCATACACTATACACACATGCATGCCACATATGTGCATATATCAAGTATAGGCATGATATACCACACACATGCATATACCCTATACGTTTGTGTGTGTGTGTGTGTTTTGAGACAGGGTCTCCCTGTAGCCCCAGCTGGCCTGGGTCTTGCTATGTAGACCAGGCTGGCCTCAAACTCACAGAGATTCACCTGCCTCTCCTTCCCAAGTGCTGGGATTAAAGGTGTGCACTAGCACGCCTAGCTTCTAGAATGTTATAGTCAATAAAATTAGCATTTTTGAAAAGACACACACACACACACACACACACACACACATATATACATAGTACTGTGCTAAAGAGAAGGCATGGGGCAGGGGAGAAAGAGGAAGCAAAACAGTATTTACAAAAATGGCTCATGGATGTCTCTTCTGAAAAGGGGTACTGTGAAGTCAGGACCTTGTGGTCTCCCTTCCACCCTGATTCTGGCCACATGCTGGCGTAGTTTTAGAAGTCTCCCACCAATATGGAATGGCCCTGCTTTAGTGCTTTCAAAGCATAGGTGACCTCCTGAGCTGATGGTGTGGACAAGACAGCGTCTGGCCAGCTCCTGAGGACCCAGGCTGCCCATCAAGCCATCACAATCATCATTTCAAAACAATATCTGCAAGTTATGTCTAAATGCATTAAAAATTGATAATACAAAGCCAACCATTATAGATTGAGGCTGTCAACTATGTGGAGGTTTCAAGTTACAATTCTTTGAATGTTTCTATACATATGAAAGCTTTCATAATAAAATTGCTTGGAGAAAAAGCCAACCGTAGTTCAATTTTCAGTGTTCAGCATTTAAGCTCTTATCCTTTCCCAGAGGAAGGACTTAGATTGTGTATCACTAAGAACAAACTTGGTGTGTAGAAGCTCTAACCATCTTGCAGTCTACCAGTGCTGTCCACTAGGCTCCATGAACTTTGAAGACCAGATGGAAGAGGTCAGAGTACACAGGACCAAAAGAGTATCTACAACATGTCAGGAGATGTTCAACTGACTCTCTACTGCATGCATGACTGCCCCAAGCCAGGAGCTCCTTTGGTTTAAAAATGTCTATCTCAGGACTGGAGAGATGGCTCAGTGGTTAAGAGTACTACTCATGCAGAGGACCTGGATTTGATTTCCAGCACCCAAATGGAGGCTAACAACTATCCATAACCCCAGTTCCAGGAGATCTGACATCCTCTTCTGACCTCCATGGGCACTGCTTGACACAGGCACACTTACATACATGTAGGCAACACACTTATACACATTAAAAAAATTTTTTTTGGTCTTTTTTGCAACAGGGTCTGTAGTCCCAGCTGTCCTGGAACTCACTATGTAGACCAGGCTGGCCTTGAACTCACAGAGATCCCCCTGTCTCTGCCTCCCAAATGCTGGGATTAAAGGTGTGTGCCACCACGCCTGGCAAAATAAAATATTATTTAAAATGCCCATCTCCTGCTGGTCATAGCAGCCCAGACAGGTAGGCAAATGCTGAAGAGGATGAGGCAGGAGGATCATGAGTTTGAGGCCAGGCTGAGGACCTGCGTTCTATCTCTAGCACTGAGGTAAAAAGTCAGGCACAGTGGCAATGCTCTTATAATCCCAGTTTAGGGGGTGGAGATAGGAGGATCCCTGGAGCTTGCTGGCCAGTCAGTCTAGATGAATTGGTTAAGCCCCAGGTCCCAGTGAGAGAATTGTCTCAAAAAACAAAGTGGATGGCTTCTGAGGAGTGATAGATCAGGTTGTCTTCTGGCTGCCACATACATGTGTGTGCACATATATACCACATACACATACACACTGACCAAAAAAAAAGTCTATCCCTGATGGGTGTCAGGCAGCCACCTCAGGGGGCTGCCCTACTGTAGAATGTTTCTAGCCATCTTTAAAAACAAACCAACATGATGGGAGTATCCCTACCATCTAAAGAACACCTGGAGTTTCTGAACTGCAGCCAGTCTAAAACAGGAAGTATTAGAGATATGAGTCAAATTCAGATTCATTTGGCTTCAATATCCTCTTTCAGTTGTGTTTGCAAATTGGCAGCTGAACAGTCGGGTCATGGTGTCTTTCTTAATATGGAATTTGGGGGTCAGCAAGTTGCTCAGATCTTAAAAAAGTTTGACTTGGAAAAATAACATTTGGGGTTAGAGTGGTGGCACATGTCTTTAATCCCAGCACTTGGGAGGCAGAGGTGGGCGATCTCTATGAGACAGAGGCCAGTCTGGTCTATGGTCTATGTAGAGAGTTACAGGCCAGCTGTGGCTGCAGGGAGACCCTGTTTCAAAATGACCAAAAAGAGGGGCCCTATGCCCCCTAAACCTGTTCCCTCCCTGACCACAGTGTAGTACACAGTACTTCTCATCAGCTTTCTCCTTTGCCATCCTCACCCTGCCCTGCCCATTTGCCCTTCAGCTGGGCAGGACACAGGTTGGGTGGGGTTGTCTCCATGACTCAGCACAGGGCCTCTCCAGGTCAGCAGCCCCACCTGGCCAGATGCAGAGAAGGGAGCCTGGCTGCCCTCCGAGTTTCCTTGCCTCTCTTCTCCTCTCAAGTTTACAAAGTCAGTGCATGTTGGAAGCTACAGCAGTAATTATTACAGCGAAAAAAAATTGGTATGAATTCTGAACAGCTCCTTGAAAATAAATGATTGAACCTTCTAGCCTACTTGACATCCTTGGAGTTAAACCCAATCAGGCCAAAGGGGCTTTTTAAAATGAAGCTGCCTTTTTTTTTTTTTTTTTGTCTTTTTGAGACAGGGTCTCCCTGTAGCCCCAGCTGGCCTGGATTCGATATAGAGATCAGACTGGCCTCAAACTCCCAGAGATCTGCCTGCCTCTGCCTCCTGAGTGCTGGGATTAAAGGTGTGTGCTACCATGCCCGGCTGAAGTTGCCTTTATAAGGATAATAAAATGACCTATCTGCTTTAAGTCAGAGTTTGTAAGTCTCAGATCTCAGGCCATGGAAGGTTTTAGAATTCTTCATAAAATATTCTAGCTAGCCCAGGAAAAACACTAGTGTGTGGGGGGGTGCGGGGGGGGGGTTAGTCACTGACCTCTGTTTTTCTGATGCCTTACAAGTATCTAGTTGGTGAGATGAAGAAATGCCTCTTGAGTAGATGTCTCTGTTACAAGTCAGAAACATTCATAAAGCACTCTCCTCACACTATGGGAAGGTGATGGTTAGTGAGTCTGAACCTGGACAGGGTAAGCAGAGTCACACTATTGAGAGGTGCCCTTGAAAGGCAGACAAATGAATTGGTGAGATGGCTCAGTGGGTAAAGGCAGAGAACTAGCAGAAAGTAGGGAGGTGTGTCTGTTCTAGAGTGGACCTTGCAGAGACCTTGTGATCTGTGGTGGAGAACAACTCTTCTACCCTCAGGGGCTCTTCCACAGGAGCTTCAGACACATGTGCACAGGTGTCGGAACAAAGTGTGGAAAGCTGCCCTCCAGAAGGGTAGAAGGGCTTTCCCAGCGCCTCTACACATTTCACAAAGTGAAGAGTCCTGCTTTGTAGGCCCTTCCTGCACTCAACACAGACAACTACAACTGCCACTGAACTCTGCGAGTGGGACCATGTGGTTTGGCGTCCTTCATGATTATACAGTGTGCACAGACACTTGAGGAACAAAAGATGTCGGCAGCAAATTCAGGTGTTTTTCAGGAATGACCCCCACCCCCCACTCAGAGACAATGTTCGTCATCTTATACAGTACCTGGTATAAAGTATGCACCTATACTATTTCTTCCTTTCTTACCTCCAAAGTATATACTGAAACCATGGATTATGAATTACTTAAGAGGTCTGTGTCATAGCTGCTAAAAACTTAAATCCAAGTAATAAAAATGGTCAGGTCCTTTAAGGATAGGATCAGTTTAATTCAATCAAGGTTCAAAAACATTTTATCATTGGCTAAATTCTTATTTTCTAAGACTCCAGGGGAAAGGGATGGATGTTCCCAGCCCTTAGAGAGTAGCCCCTGGGTCAGAGTGCACCAGGAAGGGGTCCACACCCAGGCAGCCTCAGCCACACCCTGGGTTGTGGGAGTCTACAGCTAGTAGATACCTTCCAGGGCCAGGCTGAGGAACTGATAACTGATAACACAGGCCCTCTCTTGTGTAAGCGTACATGTGGATTGCACATTTTGCTGATTATATACTTGCCTTGTGCAACTAGCAACTCTTTGTGGACTCAACAAGATAATGTTCCTGAACCTGAGAACTTTGCCCCAGACCTGATGTTTGGCATGGTGCTGGACAAAGAGAATGCTCAGAATGCTTGCACTGGGTTTCCCATGGACCAGCTGTAACATGCTCTTGAACATAGAGAACAGAAGACATAAGCCTCTGATCTGTATTTTTTTTACTAGTCACTAACCTAATAGAGCGCTGCTGCTGTCTTTTAGATGGGTGGTTCTCAATCCTCTTGGAGGGTGTCCTAAGACACATCCCCTCTCAGAGTTTCTGATTCAGTAGGGCTCCAGAAGGGCCTTGTGAATGTTCCTTTCAAAAAGTTCCCAGGTATTACTGATGATTCTGCCCAGAGATCA